GAGGGGGTGGGGAGTAGAAAGTGGAAACGAAAGCAGACAACAGAACATTGCTAGAGAGCAGGAAAGGAGGTGAAAGGAGACAATTTTAGAATAGAAAAGAAAATTTTTTGGTCGCTACCGGATTCGAACCTTTGAATGAGAGGCCAACACCTTAACCTCTAGGCCACGAGAGCCCCCAAAGTTCTTATGTAGGATATCACTATCAGCCCGACACTCATGAAGAATTTTGATACAAAATGATGCATCATAATATTATTTAGAGGTGATTTGCTCATGCTAAAAGGTTACATTCCATTATGGTTCAAGTCCGGCGTGCGTCATAATGGCACACCATGATCACGTATACCCTACCCCTTCTTCTAAATTTAATGTGGTGATTTGTTTCTGCCACTATTTTGTCAGGAATCGTATTAACAACTTCACTACCATGTAGACGTATGTGGTTTCCTAAACTTGTGCAATGCGTGTCTTTTTACTATTGGTGTATAAAGAACGTTTTCGAAGATGTCATTGCAATTTGTGCAGTTGCTTATTCCTACTAAAAGGAAATGTATTGTGGCTTTGTTTAAATCTCTCTTAAATGAACATGTTATTTTGTCTGTAAAAACACAGATTGAAACACATGAACTCTGAAAGGGATTATATTTTAGAAAAAGTTTTACGATACTTGCAACACAATAAGGTCATACTATTATAAGTGCCGAAGACTGGGGGTGTTACAAGAGGAAAGGAGATATAATTCTGGTTTGGGCCATAATGGCGGCACCATGACGATATCACTTACATCCCTTCTGTTGAAGGAAAATAATAATATGACGATTCGTTTCATTTTTGCCTCTGTTATAATGAGTCACATCAAAACTAGGAAGTGGGCGGTTGGCGGGTGCTGTGGTGTGGCGTGCTCCCTCTTTCCTATCAAACGTCTGTCGTCCTTATCTCCCCTCCTTCTACTTTGTGTTTGCTACTCTCAAATAACACCCTTAATGTAGACCTAATCTTCGGCACTCATATGACTGTATAGTGTTGCAAGTGTCGTAAAACACTTACTAAAACTTTTTTTTAAAACAAGGAAACAACAGCGATATTAATTTGAACAACTGTTTTATCTCGTAAGCCTTAACGTCAGTTAAGCACCACACGCACTTAGTTCATGAACCGAGCTGTGGGTATACGTGATTTGAGAGTCTGTGACTTGAAATGCAAAAGGTCAAATGTCACCGGATCCTTGTGAGGCAAATATTTGATCTCTGCATGTCCTGTCTGCTGCCACTACGTCACTGCCGTAATTGACGTGACCCCGGATTGAGTTGTGTTGTAACTCAGGTTTGAACTTGTAACTGAAGCATGGTTGATTGAAGGTTGTCTGAGGAGTCGGTGTTACTCACCCCCCCCCTCCCCACACCTCAGTCTCGTCTGATTCGGTCTTATTGGGATTTGACATTAACCCTATCTGTACGCCCCGTGGTCATTTGGTACCCACGAGGTTGCATTCTTCACTTTTTAGAATACTTCTAGTACGAAGATCTCTTCGAAACTTTCAGTATTTCTCAAAAAATCATTTTGACAGACTGATCGGATTAACGAGTAAATTTCCTCTTTGGAAAGTGATGGCACAGAGTTCCCCACGTCGTATGGATACGACAGTAAAACACGACGTACGAATAGGGTTAAATCGGATGTTCCACGTTGCTTAGTGCATGCAACTTCACAGTACGTAAAGTGACGAGAAAAAAACTACAAAATAAAATAGTATTCTATTTTTCCTCACCGTACAGAACCGAATTTTTCTGTCTTCCTCCTGTCCTGGTGGTTCAGTAGTCGTTGTTTGTTTATTATTGGCGTTGTTCATCTTGTTTTTGTTTTTGCATTTTTAAGGTTGCTGTTTCTGCTTTTATTATTCTATTTTTAAAAAAAAATCTTTTAAATTAGAAATACCGCTCTGTTTACCTCTAAAAGAATAAATGGTTTGCTGTAGACCAATCTGCAACATGGCGTAGGGTGTGTGTGTGTGTGTGTGTGTGTGTGTGTGTGTGTGTGT